ATATCTGATTGGGAATGCCCTCTTCCCTCCCTACCATTGTTTGGTATCCGGCTGGTTTTTTGCCTGCACTTTTTTCCATGTGACTTTAGAATAATCTTGTTTTCTTTGTGAAAATTCTTGTTGGTGTTTTTATTGGCACCACAGAAAATGAATAGACTAACTTTGGGAGAATTGGTATCTATATGGTGATAAATTTCTTTATCTAAGAACATAGAGTTCCATTTCTTCAGGCTTAATATTATGTTTTTCAGAAATGCTTTAAAGTTTCTCTCATGTAGGTTTCTACATTTTTTGTTACACTTTTTCCCCTAAGTATTTCAATGTATTTTTGATAGTTATTGGCTATTTTCTTTCATGGTACATTCTCACTTGCTCCCATTTGTGAATAGAAATGCTATTTGTTATTTGGCTCCATATTAAATTTACATTGTGTTGTTTTACTGAATTCTTTTTTTTGTTGGCAATATATAATTTTTTGTGAATGTGTAGTATTGCCTTACATAGAAATATCATAAATTAGTCAGTCCCTTGATGTTGGGTATTTAGTTGTATGTGTATATGTGTGTCTATGTATACATGTGTGTTACACATTTCCACTATTAATACAAGGATGTGAACATATTTATAGCTAAAAGATTTTTAAGGTTTTGGCTACTTCCTTACAAAAAATCCTTAGAAGTAAATTTGCTTTTCAATGAAAATACAGTATTAAAAAGCCTTTTAGAAAATCTCTTGACAAATTACACCAAAGAAGGCTTGTACCCATTTATCCTCTCACCAGTGATGTCTGAGGAGGGAGAGTTCAATTTTAATGGGCCAAGCAAAATGTCATTCTCATTTCAATCCTAGAGCAATTATTTCCAAGTTCTTTAGCCATAGTGCTCTCTGTTTTTAAAGGAAAACTTGTGCATTAGGTTGAATTATATGAAAATTCTATTGTTTGCAGGTAAAATAGTTGAGTATCAGCAATTTCACATGGTCCAACCCAACAGAAGACCACCAGGTAAAACAAAACAAAAGCACAACTGCTCTGATTGGTGGTGGAGTAGGAGTATTGATGAAATCTCAGAGAAGTGCATGAGAACAACTGTCTAGGCACAGAGCCCTGTGGAAGAAGGCAGGTATGGGAGCCATGAACTCTCAGGGTCTTAGTTGTGTGTGTGTGTGTGTGTGTGTGGTGTGTGTGTGTGTGTGTGTGTGTGTGTGTGTGTGTGTATGTGATGGGAGTGGACAGTGTGGGATAGAAGCTGACAGAGAGGAAGAAAGCATGGGCAGCTAGCAGGGGGGCAGATTCTTTGAGCGTTTGCCTTATTAATAAGTCTGATCTTGCCCTTGTCTGAGAAGCAGTACTGTATCCTTAGAGCATCTCTGCAGCAGTCGTAGAAGGTGGGGGTTCAATCCCAGATCAGTTATTTATTGACAATGTGATTTACGACAAAAATGTAAGTCTCTGTGTGACTCAGTGTTCTTATCGTGAATATGAATTCCTACCTTATCAGTTTGTTTTTATAATAAAATGTTACAGTGTATCTTAGAGACTTAACATGTTGCATGCTAAACAGTAAATTCTCATTTATTCTGTTTGTTCTCACTAACGTTAAGATGTCCAAATATGTATCAATTTATAGACTTTATCTCAGAGATTTAATCTCCCTGAGATGTTTGTGACATGAGCAGTAATAATTCCTCCTATTTTATAAATAGAAACCAGTACATTTTATTTTTTAGCTTCACAGGGCTATCAAGCAATGGGGCCCATTATTCTCATAGACTCCCAGGTTAAAATAGACTCAGAAGCCCAATCTGATCCAACTCACATCTCTAACATCCTTGATGAGAGATCATCAAGCCCAAGGATGGAATGGCAACATCCATGAATCCTGTGTGCTCATTCCCCTCTCAAGGGCCACATGATAGACATACTAAGTTTTTATGACACTAAGCTCATATGGGCCCAGAATCGCTTTTAATAAATTCTCTAAGCAGCTGATACCAAACTTATCTATGCTCTGGCTTAGTCTGTATGAGAAGGCTAGCCAAAGGCTGGGAACACATGGCTACTTACAAGAGCCCGTTTCATTTCTGGAACATGTTGCTACATTTCACCTTGAGTCCTCCACAATATATACATATGTTTAATCAAGATTTGTAGGATGAATAAATAAATAAAGATTTACAGAAGTATTTAAAAACTTCAGATTTTTCAGCAAATGTATTGGTTTATCTAATATTTATTGAGAACCTGTGATTTTAAGTACCTTTTTAGGTGGTCAGGAAAGTCTCAATGAAACGACTTTTCTTTATTGTGACAAAATATACTTAATATCAAGTTTACTGGTTTAACCACTTTTAAACATAAAGTTCAGTGGCATTGAAAGCATTCCATTGTTGTACAGCCATTGTTGCCATTCATCACCAGAACTTTTTTTTTTTGTGGTACTGGGGTTTGAATTCAGGACTTCACGCTTGCTAGGCAGGCGCTCTATGGCTTGAGCCATGCCTCCAGCCCTATCACCAGAACTTTTGCATCATTACAAACAGAAATTCTAAACCCATTAAACAAAAATTTTCCATTTCCTTCTCTCCCAACCCCTAGCAACCACATTCTACTTTCTTCCTCTATGAACCTCAGAAGTAGAACTACACAATATTTCTTATTTGATGTCTGGCTTATTTTACTTAGCCTAATATCTCTAAGTTTTACCCAGCTTGGATCATGTATAAGATGACTTTTTAAAGTGCTTTTAGTTGAAGGATAACATACAAAGAGAAAGGTACATAACTCCTTCACAACATGAACTCATCAGAGAAAGCAGCATCTAGATAAGGATGGAAGCTTACCACACCACGGAAGGTCCACTCATGTCCTTTCCTGACGGTGACCTCTACCCTGACATTCAACAGTGCAGACTAATTTTAATTTTTAACTTTATATACATAAAACTTGACAGTATTTTTTCTGTCTACTTTCTTTTACCCAATATAATAGATGGGGTATTTGTCTGCATGGTGTATTCTTTCATTCTTATTGCTAAATAGTGTTCTATCATGTTAATAGACCACAATTAATTTATCCATTATATTATTGATGGAGACAGATTGGTTCTGGGTTTTGTTAAGAAGAATGCTGCTGCAAACTTTCTTGTACATATCTTTTGGTGAGGATATGAATGACTATTATATTTTATATATGCATATATGAAATACTTATATATGGTATATGATATGGATATGTGATATAATATGACTGTATTATATTTAGTTATGTGCCAATGACAGAGATACATTGTAAGAAATGCATCATTAGGTAATTTTGTTGTTGCAATATTGTCATAGAGTAGACTTCCACAACCTAGATGGCACAAGTCAATTACTCAACATAGTCTCTTGGTGCAGCCAA